CACAGCAGATCACCATCTCGGGCCTCAGGCCGCCGCGCCGCCTCCAGGCTCCGGCCCTCGCCTCGCCGCGCCGCGCCGCGAGCGGGACCGCCCCGAGGGGAGGGCGCGCGGCGACACGGCTGCGGGACGTGGGAGCCGGCCGCCGCGGCTCCCGTACGGCAAGATGGCGGCGCACGCCCTGCCGCCCGGCCGTCCGGCCGCTCGGCCGGGACTCGGCGTGCCAGGGCTCTCCAGTACCCGGCTGGGCGCAGCCCGCGGCTCGCGGCGTCGGGGGTGGGCGGGGGCGGCCCGGGCCGGCGGCCCGGTACAGCGGCATGGCGCACCGGGCCGTCCGTACGGCAAGATGGCCGCGCCGGCGGCGGGGGCGCACGGCGGGTTAGCGCGCCCTTTCCGGGGCTCCACCGCCCGCCCGCGTCTGCCTCCGCAATCCCCACGGGTCGCTGTCGGGGTGCCCGGAGCGAACGGGCAGGCCGCCAGAGAGCCGGGCGCGCGGGCCCAGCCCTGGGCTTTGGGCCTCGCCGTACGCCAAGATGGCGGACGTGCACTTCCTCCCACACTTCCTGCCCCGCCCGCGCCCGCTAGGCCCGGATTGGCCCCGGCAGCGGCCCGTCGCGTCGCGCTGCGGAACCGTCGGAGCGACGCCGCTGCTCAGTCGGCGGCCGGAGAGGGAAGATGGACGCAGGTGAGGGCCCGAGCGGGCGCAGGGCGACTGGCGGGCGACGCCCTCCTGGCCCCTCTGCTGCTGGGGCCTTGCCCAGCGCGGCGTGGGTGCGGGCTGGCTGCGGGGCCGCGGGGCAACGGGGCGGAGCCGGCCCCGGCGCGGAGCGGGGCGGGGCCGGCGTCCGTGGGAAGGCCGGCGCGGGTCTGACAGTGGGCTGTCTGCGTGTCTCGGCGCTTTTTCAGGGCCGCCCGCAGCGCGCGGCGACAAGCCCAAGGCCGGCGCGGACGAGCAGGGGCAGCGCACTGTGCGAGACGGGCAGGGGGGCGCCGGGTGGGGCTGGCTCCAGAGCCGGCGGCGGGAGAGTGCGGTGCCTGCCGCCAGCCCACGCCCCAAACGTTAAGAAATGGAAGCTCTTTAACTCTTTGGAAGTTACATCGGGAGCCTGGTGGCGAGAAACGTGCTCCCAACACTCACAGAACACGCAGCTTTTTTTTGAAGTTTTTTACTTCAGCGACCAGTACATCATGCGAGCTTCCTTTTCGTGGTTGAAGAGAGAAACTGGATTCATGTCGTCATATCTTAACTTCTTGGGGTCCTTATGCGAAGTATGTAGCGGGTGGGAGGGCGTATGTGTGCGTGTGTGCCCGTGTACACGTGGGGATATGTGCATGTGTGGCTCTCTGCACTGCCTCATTGTGCTTCTGTTCCAGCGGGGACATCCCTTGTGTTGCCGGCAAACTGTTCTGGATCTCTGTTCAGTAGCCTTGAAAGTGTTCTGACACCGGCTCTCTCGTCCCACACCAAGGGTGGGGACAGTTTTAGTCCTTTCATTCCTTGTAGGGAGTGATTTGCCTTCAAGAACCTCTCCGTCCCCCACCGCCACCTGGTGTAATTCCACCTGTCATCCTGGATGGCTTTGTTTGCTTTGTTTTTCTTCTCATGGCAGCGGCAACTTAAATTTGCCAAAATCTCAGTTTGGAAACTGGAATGCAGACGTGTATGGCCAGTATTTCAGTGACTTGTGGCATCTGGCTGGAGCAAACAGTAGTCTTGACTTCCAAAGAAGCATGTTAACCAGATTGTGTTTTGTGAAATTCGTTTAAAAAAAAAAAGAAACCACAGAGAGTGTTTTACTGTTTTCTGGGGAAATGGGGTGGAGAAAGGAATAGAAATATTTATCTGCTTTCTTTGAAGTTATCACTGGCTGGGATACTTCAGACTTCGTAGGAGAGACTTGGGTAAGATGGAAAACACAATTCTGTGTTGGTTATATTAGCTTAAAAAAATGGAAATCATCATGTTGAAGTTGAAGTGTATTTCAGAGTAGAAAAAAAGTGTTTGCATTTGAAGGCCGCTGTTGCTGCTGATAAAATATATGATCCTTGGAGGCTGTGATGGAGAAGTTTTCCTGACAGGATGCTCTACATGTTTTTAGGGGTCATTAATGGTGCAGCCTCCTCTGATCCTGGACTCCTTACAGACTCTGCCTTCTTTGACCAAGTCTTGGGCAGCTCCTAGTTGTTTTTATAGTGATCCATTCAATAAACTACATTTGTTATTGAATGAGAGGTTTGTCTTGGGCATTGTTCTAGATCCTGGGGCTAGAGAAGGGAACAAAATAGACAAAAACCATGTGGTTCATGTGGGAGAGTGATGTGGGCCAAGCAAGAGGGACTTTCAGTTATACCCAGAATGACCAGGAAAAAAAACTCACTGCAGACAGAGGTAAGTTTTGACCAAGACCCAAAAGCAGTGCAGGAGGAAGGGCAAGTGGGCCATTGTGGCCAGGATGCAGCAGTTCGGGGTGAGAGAAGTAGGAGCTGAAGGCAAAGAGACAGATTTGGTCCAGTCATAGGGCCTGGTTGGGTCATAGTGAGGACTGGGGTGTTTATTTATTCTAAATGAGTTGGTGAGTCTTTGGAAGGTTTTCAGTATAGCAGTAATGTGACTGGACCTATGTTTCACAGACTGGCTCTGGCTGCTCTGTCCAGAACATACTGCATGTCCTGCAGAGGGGCAAGGGCAGAAACAAGGAGCCCGGTTAGGAGGCTGTTGCAATGAGGCAAGTGAGAGGCTATGGAAGCTTAGCTCAGGGTGGAGAGAGGAGGTTGACTTCTGGACGTATTTGAGGGTTGAGACGTCAGGATTGTGTATAGGCTGGAAGTGATGGGTTGAGGGGAGGCATGGAGAGGGAGCATTCAAAGATGGTGCTGAGGTTTATGGCCTGAAGTGAGAACCTCTGGTGGGGAAGACTTTGGGGGTCTTGCTTGGTGGGGGAGCTGTTGGTTTTGTATGAGCGGACTGTTGTTAGACATCTTTTTGGGGATGTCCAGGGAAGCTTAGGGCCCACAGGCCTGGAGCTGAGGGCGTCGGCCTGGACTTGAAATGGAAGTGTGTGGAAAGCTGCTTTGGATGAGTCCCTGAGGGTCTGAGAGGAGAAGAAAAGAGAAGGGGCCCGGGAGGGGCACCCAGGGCTGCTGGCTGGCATAGACAGGTCCAGAAGGTGCAGATGGACTGCAGGCTGGTTGTGTTCTCCACCAAGCCCCCAGCACTGTGTGTGAGAACACACTCTGGGCTCAAGAGGCTGGTGGGCGCCCTCAGTTAAAACATGGCTGTGCTGCCCGTCCCTGAGGACAGAGCCATATCTCAAGCTTGCATCTCCAGGGTTTCAGCTGTGTCTGGCATATGGTTGGTAATCGAGGAAGCAGAACTTGAATTAATGTCAACTACATGTTCCTGCACTACAAGGACTTCAGTTTAGAGAGTCTGTTAGTGTATAAGGTGTCAGTGGTGTGAAGGGGCTGCTGAGCCCTGCAGGGCAACGGGGCTCAGTGTGGTGTTCTGTGCAGTATGCTTACAAGTGCAGTGTTTTCTAGGTCTCTGGTGTACCTGACCTTCCGGGTGCTTTTCCTTTCTCTTCCTTGCTTTTCACTCAGAACTGAACTGCCAACATCTTCATGAAAATTGTTTGGGATTTTAAAAAGTAACTACTTGCAAACCTGTTATTCTAAACTTAAACATTTTCCTTTTCTTTCTTTCTTTTTTTTTTTTTTTAAAGATCTTATTTATTTAGTTGGTGGAGGGAGAGAGAAAGAGAGAGCACAAGCAGGGGGAGTGGCAGGGAGAGGGAGAAGCAGACTCCCCGCTGAGCAGGGAGCCCAGTGCAGGCTGTATCCCAGGACCCGGGATCATGACCTGAGCGGAAGGCAGATGCTTAACCGACTGAGTCCCCCAGCGTCCCTATACATAAACATTTTCTAAAGGAAAGGTGAACCCTTTTTTTGATTTTATTTACGAAGCATTATCTCTTAGAAGCTATAGGTGATTGAGGGAATGATCTTTGAAAAGTGATGCTTTTTTCTGCCAGATAAATAATATTAAAATATTTGTTTCTAATGGAATTGCCATACCATTAAAGGGCTTTCTGCTTCCTCTTGTGGGTGTGGTCAGAGACCTTTTGGAGGAACGTGTGGAAAATCAGGTGTCTGGGACCAGGTGACCAAATGAGGGAGAGTGCCTCTGAAACAGCGTCATTCTTATGTTGGCCAAAATCTGTCACTCTTGCTTGTCCTCTGTGTCCTCTTAGTGGAAGTTAAAACCATTTCCTGGAGTCTGGAGACTGGCATTATTTTTGAGATTTGATCTCTTTTCACTCAGGAGCATGTGAAATGAACACATGATTTGATACCATGTGTGGTGATGATGAAATTATTCTTAGTCCTAATTAATTTGGGGTGACCCTGTCTGGGAAGGATGCAGAGTTTGCTGGCCTCCAACTCCTGTGAAGCTGGTCAGTCTGAGCAGAGAGTTGGAGGTGAGTCTGAGCCTCCTCTGTATTGGGTAATCCGTGCAGATGTAACTGTGAAATTAGTTTTAAAATAGAAAAGTACTGGGGACGCCTGGGTGGCTCAGTTGGTTGAGCAGCTGCCTTCGGCTCAGGTCGTGATCCTGGCGCCCTGGGATAGAGTCCCACACCGGGCTTCTTGCTGGGCAGGGAGCCTGCTTCTCCCTCTGCCTCTGCCTGCTATTTTGTCTGCCTGTGCTCGCTCTCTCTCCCTCTCTCTCTGACAAATAAATGAATGAAATCTTTAAAAAAAACGAAAAGAAAAGAAAAGAAAAGTACTAGTTTCTCGAGGCACCTGGGTGGCTCAGTGGTTAAAGCCTCTGCCTTCAGCTCAGGTCATGATCTCAGGGTCCTGGGATCGAGTCCCACATCGGGCTCTCTGCTCAGCGGGGAGCCTGCCTCCTCCTGTCTCTCTCTGCCTACTTGTGATCTGTCAAATAAATTAAAAAAAAATCTTTAAAAAAGAAAAGAAAAGTACTAGTTTTTCTATTCAGCTGTTTTCTGACCTGGTGTTCTGTAATGTTTTTTGTTCTACCCAAGTATTAATATGTGTTTTGACTAAATTAACACCTACGATAAAAGGGGCGTTGTGTAGGGGGCAAGGGAGAGTTAGTTTCATTTTATAGATAATGAGGCTTGGAATACTATGAAAAGGTGGATGAGGAAGTGCTGGAAACCATTGCTGGGTGCTGCACACGTTGCTGGAACCTGGCCCCGGCCTTGTGTTCCCGTCCCACGGGCAGAGCAGCAGCTGTGTCCCACCTTGTGGCAGGGGGACCAGGCCCGTGCATCCTACAGCTAGGAAGTGGGCTCTTCTGTCTCCAAAACCAAATCTTCATAGAACTGAAAATTGAGTGTCAGGAGTGAATGGTATTTTTGAGAGCACCATTGGGGAGTGCGGCCCAGAAGGTCCGGGAGCTTGGTGGTCTGGTCTGCTGCAGGGGGCCTGCGCTGAGTGAGCAGCCTCTGTCCGGGGGAGCCCTGAGGGCATTGGGGCGGTGGCATTCATTCCAGGTGTCGTGTCCCCTGCTGCAGGCGGGGCTGGGCAGAGCCACTGAAGGCCAGTCAAGACTTTCTGCTGGTTGTATGGGGATGAGAAGTCCTTCACTTGCTTTCTTGGTCAGAACTGCTGCGGGTCCGTGGGACTCCGTGTGCTCATTTACCAGAGCGGAAACCTCAGGACATTGAGCTGGCTGGTGAGGTGTCGCCAGTGGTTGGCTTCTGCTCCTGAAAGCCCAGGCTTGGGAGGCAGGCTTGTTGGCTACATTCAGCTTTAGTGAGGTAGACCATGTATTTGGGTGAGTTTCCTGTGTGTGTCGCACTGGGTGCCATACCTGTTACAGAACGTGGAGACTGGTCTTCCTTGCATATTGTGGCACCACGAACTTACCTATTCCAGTGACTCCCAGGGAACCCACCCCAAAACGTGCTTACTGTTGCCCAGCGTGGGGCACAGCTTTTCACGTTTCATCACACTGTCTCTGAGGGAAACACAGCTGTTCTCATCTTACCAGTGAGAAAACTGAGGCACAGTAAGGTCTCCACCAAGTGAGGGTCAGACTTCGGGTTGCCCACAGTGGGGACTGTGTTCATTGGGCGTGATGGACACACACTCCATGCACAGTGTTCCCCAGGACCAACAGGAACACGGTCCCTGTCTGAGGAAGTTGCTGGGCCACGGGGGAGCTGTGTCTGCAGCCAGTTCCAGAGACACACGGGACCTGTACCCAACAGGAGCAGGATTCAGGGGGAGCGGCTCACATGCGCAGTCAGCTGGAGGGGCAGAGGTAGAAGGAGCAGTGATGTGAGGTGCATGGGGGACATAGGGGCATGGGAGTCACCCACAGGTGACAAATGTGCACCCTCACTTCGAGGCCCCTGCTACTCTAGCAAGAGCTAGGGTCACTTCCTGGTAGTTTGTTCTCTTGCTTGGAATGACAGTGTGTGTGTCTCCTTGCCTGGTTTTGGCTGATGTGGTAAAGAATCTGAGGCCACACAACCCATAATTTGGTTAGCTGTTGTATAAAATTTGGTGATAAAGTGTTAACTTAATAGAACACCTCTTATTTTTTTCCCTCTGAAGTTGGCTTGGTTGCCTATAAAGTTTGCTAGTAAACCTAAGAAGTACGCCTGCTTTGCATTTTGTTACCTCTCTACTTCAAAGGCATCCCAGCTTTGATATGGGGCTGTGGTCCAGTGACAAGTGCTGTGCCCCTGTGGCACAGAGCGCACACGAGATGCTCGCCCACAGCACTTGGTAGCCCTCCAGGATTGGTAGCAGTCTCTGCATCGTTCGTTCACAGTGGTGGCCTTCGAAGGGTCCTGGGCATCAGTAGGGCAGGAGAGTCAAGGTCGTTTGCATACTTTTTCCTTGAGAGTAAATGTTTTGGTTTGAATCTACATATCAGTTAAAGCCCAAGGGTCCTAATAATAGAGAAGTAACAGAAACACCATGGTGTGCGCAGCTACTTGAGATCATGGAACTTGAATTCACTCGAATGTAGCATTGATAATCATGGGCAGAAACAAGTAATCTTATGTAGAAAGAGGGGGAGAGAAACCTGGACTCTGGTTGTCCCCAAGCATAGAGCAGTGTGCTTGGTGTTGAGGAAGCACGGGCAAGTTGGACACCCTGAGCAGAGCCCCTGAGTGAAGCTGGGCCAGTGACAGCTCCCAGCACCCACCGTCGTGCTCGGGCGCCCTGGGCAGCACAGCTGGTTCTGGAAGCAACAGGACTGCCCTGATGCTGTCAGATTTCAGGTGAAAAGAAGAAAAGGCAGAGCTGGATCTGGGTTCCTGACAGCCAGAGAATTGTTGAAGTAGCAAATGCAGGGTCTTTGATTTCTTTGGATTTCTTTGTTCATGGAGCATTGCTCACCCAACCCTGGGCCTGGGAATTAGCTGTGTGCCCAGTCTAGTCTTTCGGGTGCAGTAAAATTGTATGGCTTTGAACCTGCAGTTCTGTGTCCTCAGCATTAATGACCCAGGCTGACCTTGGCGCCCTTCTGTCTGCCAGCTTGGGTGTGCACACCTCATGGGAAGGGTTTCAAGGATACTCTGCAGCTGCACTAGGAGGGCATCCTGTTATTTTTTCCCCCCATTTTATGAATAAGGACGTTTCTACACTGAGGGGTCAAAGGGCCCAAAGAACCTAGAAGCTGGCAGTGCTTGAGCCAGGGTTGGACCTCCACTGCAGGCACTAGGGCCAGCGCTGTGTCCCAGCACCCCCAAGGGTTATGCACAGCACAGAAGGACACGCAGGGATGCTCACATGGGGTATGTCAGGAGCACTCCGACAGGGCGTGGGAGTTACCAATGGCCTGGACGTCTGTGCCGTGGGGTGCTGTGGGACCATCAGATGTTTGCTGGAGCTCTGTGTCTGTGTGGACTGACCGTCATCGTTGAGAGAATAGAGACAAGGAAATCACAGGTATGGTATGCTTTCCTTTACGGATCTATGCAGAGACTTCTGGAAGGAGATTCCTTGCTGGGTATTAACCTGCAGATGATTTTTTTAATAATTTTTTTTTAGTCTTTGGGTTTTTGAAAATTAATACATCATTGTTACCAAAAGGTGGGGCTATTGTAAAAAAATAAATTCAGATGTGGGAGAAGCTACTATAATTGATGTTCCGAAGTTTTCCGGGCAGTTCACAGGTGAGGGCACTAGTGACTAGGTACCATTGAGGCTTGAGCGACAGCAGGTGAGAACTGTGTGTTTAGGGTTCTGTGAGGAGCAGCTCTAGAGTTGGGGGACCCAGGATACCCTGTGCCCCTTGCCTCGCAGGTGCTGGTCTGTGCTCTGCTGAGTCTGGAAACCGTATAGAGAGGTTTTCCTCAGTTGGCTTCCAAGGACAGAGGGGGACACTGGGCCTCTCTGGCTTCTTAACTGAAACAGCACAGGATGACATGGTGCACAGGTCTTGTGAGCTGCATGCACAGCCACCTTCTTAGGAGGTGAGAGCTGGTGGCCATGTTCTTCTAGGAGCAACTTGAAGCAAAAACAGCTACAGGGAGTCTCAGGGACTTTGCAGAAGGGTGTGTCTGTTTCTGAGGGGTTGTGTCCCACCCAGGAATAGTACCTGTCCTTCCATGGCTGGTTGTCACCATCCCCAAGCTTGTGTTTCTTGCCCCGAAGTCCCTGCCTTCCCCTTGGTCTCTGGACACCTGCTCCAAGGGGACGCTGACTCCACCTTCTGTTCAGCTTGCACGTTGAGATGCAGTGATTACTTTTGTTCTGTAGGTTTAAGTTTAAAACCAGTACTGAACTCAGGGGCTTCCCTGCCCTGGGCCTGGCACCGTTGGCCTCGCCCTTGTGTCAGCTGGAAGGTGAGGCTCGGGGGCTGCTGCCCTGTTGCTTACAGTTGCTTTGTCTTTGGTGGTTGTCACTGCCCTGCCGAGACACTGAGTTACAATGAGTTCTTTACATGGAAATGCTGGAAATGATTTTTCATATTATTTTATGAAATGGTAAAAATGGGATCAATGTGTGTTTGGTTTCAATAGCTACTCTGACCTACGACACTCTTCGATTTGCTGAGTTTGAAGATTTCCCGGAGACCTCAGAGCCTGTGTGGATACTGGGTAGAAAATACAGTATTTTCACAGGTATTAGCCATGTTGGAACCCGTTGTGCTCTCATGTTGGGGGAATAAAATAATAGTTATCTGTTAACTTCCTGTATCATATGATCTACGAAGTTAAGGCTGTGTATGTTTTCTGCTTTTAAACAATCCCTAGAAAAGGATGAGATCTTGTCCGATGTGGCATCCAGACTTTGGTTTACATACAGGAAGAACTTCCCAGCCATTGGTAAGTATGCCATCGGCTACCACGCGTGCTAATAGATACAGGCTTTATAAGTAGGATGGGTTGGACGCATAGTGTTGACTTCGGGATGCCCAGTCCTCGTCACTTCATCTCTGACGTCACGGTGACCCTAGTGACTTAAGCCAGCTGAGGTCTTGCCCCTCATGTGGCAGAATTAGGGTCCAAACCCAGGAATCCCGATTCTCCTGAGGGCAGGGATTTTCCGACTGCTGGTCCTGGTTTCTTACTGGAACTTCAAAGTCAGGATAATGAGTCACAAGTAGCATTTCAAAGTGAGAGCAGAATGGAGTGTGGAGTCGTGGGTTTCCACAGTGAGGCAGCGTGTGGCTTCAGGAGGCTTCGGTGTGTACGTTGGAACGGTGTCCTGGGTCACGGTTGTCACAGTGCGCTTCAGACTGCAGGCCCAGGGTGTCTGGAGGCCACTGCTCTGCGTCATCACCTTTTCTGCGGTGTCCCGCGCTTAGTTGCAGGGAGAGCTGAAGGGCCGCGTGGATGTGCTTGTCTTCACATCGCACCGATGTAAGTCCCATTCAGAGTCCTGGCCCTGGAGGTGGACAGGGAGGGGCCCCAGCTCTCAGCCTCGCTTTGCCAGTTCGAGAACTGGAGACCAGAGGGTCGGCACCAGGAGGCTGCAGCTTCCCGGTGGCCTGTCTCCGTCAGGCCCCTCCCAGAGATGCGGGCCTGGGTTCTCTGGAAGGGAGGGGCATGTGGTGCGGCTGCAGGGTCGTGGTGGGGAGTGCTGTGGGATAGGGAGATGAGGCCAGTGCCACCACAGGCCACCTAACAATGGCATTTGTCTGCTGTGCTCCAGGATGCCATTCATGCCACAGGTGCTGTGCTCAGCCCTGGAGACAGGGAAGCGCCTGGTCGTGGAGGTGTGCTGGGCACTGGTGCAGGGACACTGCTGTCCTGTAGGTCGCTGTCTGGATGCGCAGAGCGGGGCCGGGCTTAGAGGAGCCTTGTAGTGTTTGGGAACGTCCTTGAGGAGCAAGGTGCCTGCCACTAAGGGCCCACATGGTCTCTCCTTCCCGGCCATGGGGAGATGGCTGGCAGGTATGGCTGGTGGGTACAGGAGTTGTCGCATGCCCCCAACTCTGCCCCTCGGGGCGTGTGTAGGAGGGGCTGCCTCTGGTGGCGCTGCAGGGAAGTATGGGGCCTGCTGGGGCTGCCGCTCCGAGGGCTGGCCCTGGCCTCTCTGCTCCCGCACCGCCTCGCACCTCTCGCCTCGCTGGGCCTTTGGACATCGGGATGTCTCCTGTTGTGCTGGGGCCAGTCTCAGAGTACCCGCAGAACTCTGGTCCCCAGCACAGGTATCCTCTGGGCCCTGGCAGGGGGCATGATGTGGCTGGGCTCCGGGGCACGTGTGCTTGAAGTGCTGAGGGCTATCACCAGCCTGCCCAGGCTTGTGTTGCCGCCCTCCTGCACACAGCCCAAGCTCCGAGCAGGTGCATCTTGGCTCTTCCGGTGCGTGGAGAAAGGTTGTCTTTATTGAACTTGGACTTTCCTCGATTACTTGTGAGTCTTAGTGTGTTCCATATGTTTTCCAGACAATCTAATTCTCTGTGACAGACTAACTGTTCACGTATTTTGCCACGTTCAAGGGGTTGGCAGGACGTGTCATTGCCCAATAAATGTGCCCTTGGCATGACCAGGTTCTAAATGGCCTGTCCTCTGAGACGGAGCTGACGCGGCATAGGGCTGATCCCAGCATGCTAGGACCAAGGCCTCTTGCCAGTGGACTCCTGAGCTCCTGGGCCATCTGACGGTGAGGGCTCTGTCTTTATTCACCATGACAGGGGGCACTGGCCCCACCTCGGACACAGGCTGGGGCTGCATGCTGCGCTGCGGACAGATGATCTTTGCCCAGGCCCTGGTGTGCCGCCATTTAGGCCGAGGTGAGTCACGGCCTGTTGGAAGCCAGCAGGACTGGGGGGCTAGGTTACCCAATGCATGCAGACTAGGGTTCAGGGTTTTCTTGAGCGGCAGGCCACTGGTTTTCATTGATTTTTAAGAAGTGACGTTAAAGAATATTGATGAACGTTCATGTTTTAGAAATGATCTTTATATCACTGAAACTGTTTTCTGTTCTGTATGGATTTATCTTGATGGGTTAGCATGTATGCATTTGGAAATCCTAGAGAATTTGGCTTTTAACTTGAGAAAGGTTCAGAAAAGGGTATCATCTGTGGCTTGAGTGTTTTAGAAATGTAAAGGCTTCTTTCTCCTCTTTTGGTAAAATTGAACTTCTGCATCTCTCCACTAGATTGGAGGTGGACCCAGCGGAAGAGGCAGTCTGATAGCTACTTCAATGTCCTCAACGCGTTCATCGACAGGAAGGATAGTTACTACTCCATTCACCAGATAGGTGGGAGATTGCTAAGTGCGCCAGGCCCCGCTGCTTAGAGCAGGCCAAGTCGTTGGTTTCCCCCTGAGCACTTCTCTGGTTTTGGGTGTTTGAGGCATGAAGCTGTAGGTCCCTCTGGCCATGGCCACCGGGGGCTGCTGTCATGGGTCGGGCCAGCTCAGACCCGGGGCCTTGCCATGGCGTGGTTGGGGGTTGGGGGGGGTGCATGGCCACAGTGGGGTGCAGGCTGCTGATTGCGGCAGCAGTGCAGGTGGGACAGCATCTCCAGGGGTCATCCCTCTCTGAGCCCATCACTAAGTGTAAATGCTCCTTTGTTTTGAGCATCATGTCCTCACTTACAGAGGAAGTAAAGATATAGCTTTGATTCGTTGAATTTCCTCTAATCCTACTCCTTATCGAAGGGCTGGTATCCTGGCTTATAGTGAGGGATGACCTTGAGGTGGCTTCTCTCCCTCTTGGAGAAAGTGTCCTGGAGTCTGTCAGGAGCTCCTGCTGGAGGCGGGGGTAGGGGGGTGCCAGTCCAGGCTTCCTGTGGAGTGTTCCTGCTGCTATGTGCTGCTGCCAAGATGGGCCTCTTCTGGGGGGAGGGGCGGGGGGAGGCACATGTCACTAATCTCATCTGTTTCCTGCAGCACAAATGGGAGTTGGCGAGGGCAAGTCCATCGGCCAGTGGTACGGGCCCAACACTGTTGCCCAGGTGCTCAAGTATGTGCCAAGCCCTATCCCTCCCATTTCCTTGGGGTGGCGTGAGCATGACCTGTGGGTTCAAACTCTCCTGAGTCTGAGGGGTCTTTTGTACTTCCCCTCATGGCCCTCCTGAGAGTCCTCGGAGGTGGTCGCGGCCCATGATGTTTCCTCATAGAGGAGTGTCGTCATCCGGATAGTGCCGGCTGGATGGGGCCTCTGCGTCTGTTACATGGACCCATCCACAAGGCTGGAGGTTGAAACTCGTCTGGAGTGACCGCAGTGCGGTGTGGGTGCCATGGGCCTCGGCCTCTGTGCTGACCTTCTCCCCGCAGTGGACCCTGTGGCTTTCCCTCCACATCCTGACTCAAACCTCTGTCCCTGCTCCTTGAACCCCAGGCTCCCTGCTCCCAGTGTCTGAACCCACCCCTCCCTCTCCCCACAACCCACAGTTGCAGTGAAGGGCTGCCCTGTCCATGTGGCCTCTCTTGGCAGGTTGTTGGGGACCTGCCAGAGTGCTACTTTCTTTTACAAATCCACCTTCTAGCTGATCAAGTCTGCCCATGGTCTCTCTGTCCCCTCACCCTGCCCCCCCATTTACTCAGCCCCTACCACATGCCCCTAAGAGCCCTGGGTCCAGCCCTGCACACCTTGGAAGCAGAGTCTTTCTGCACGGTCAGTCTCCCTGTGTGGTCAGTGTGTGTGGTCTGCGTGTGTAGTCCATGTGTGTAGCCTGTGTGTGGCCTGCATGAGTTGTCTGCATGGTCTGCGTGGACTGCGCATGTGCTCTGTGCATGTGGTGTGGCTGCACGGCCTGTGTGTGTGGTCTGTGTGCATGCCTGCACGTGGGGTTTGCCAGTGTGGTCTGTGGGCTCTCGCTGTCCCCAGTTCTGCTCTGAAGCAGCTCCTTCGAGGTTGCTGTCCATCTAGTCCCCTCCCAATGCCAGGATTTGGTCCTCTGTTTACTCAGTTGTTTGGCAGGTGGCTCTTGGTGCAGATGTTCTCTCTAGGAAACCCTGTGTGGTACAGTCATGCTCTCTGGTCCCTGTTGATGGTCGATGGCTCCATTGTCGTCCCCCCGCCATGAGCACTGCGGGGCTGACTTGGCCTTTGGCCGCTTCTCTTTTCTGCCAGCAGCAGCGTGAGCTGTGGTCTACAGGGTGCAGCTCTCAGAGTCACCCCCCCATAGTGCTGATTTGTGCCCAGACTCGGGTCCAGGTACTTACTCAGCAGCACCCCTGAGATGTCCGAGGGGCATGTCAGCCTAACAGCCAGAACCAGAAGCTGACCCTTCTCCCCATCCCTGGCCTGTTCATTCTACATGGAATGGCAGTGCTGTCCTTCCAGGAACTCAGGAAAAAAAACTGGGGTCATGCTGGATTTTTTTTTTTTCCAACACACCCCATTCACTTGGGTCTGGACTCTAACCAGTGCTTGTTACCTCCCTGTCCTCACCACGGTCCAAGACCCATTTCTGCCTCCTTGTTGGTCTTTTCTCTTCGATGTCCTCGAGGCTCTTTTAAAATACAAATAGGTGTTAGGGCACCTGGGTGGTTCCATCTGCTAAGCATCTCGCCCTTTTTTTTTTATTTTTTTATTTTTTTAAATAAAGATGATTTATTTATTTGAGAGAGAGCAAGCAAGAGAGCGAAAGAGAGCATGAGCGAGGAGGAGGGGAGAGGCAGTGGGAAAGGGAGAAGCAGGCTTCCTGCTGAGCAAGAAGTCTGATGTGGGGCTTGATCCCAGGACCCTGGAATCGTGACCTGGGCCAAAGGCAGCGGCTTAACCCACTGAGGTACCCTGGCGCCCCAAGCATCCGGGTCTTGATTTTGGTGGGATCGAGCCCCTCCCTGCCCACATTGGGCTCTGTGGTCGGTGGGGAGTCTGCTTGAGATTCCCTGCCCCCCCGACGCCGTACTTGTGCACACACTCTATCTCTAAATCAATGAGGGTTTTTTAAAGATTATTAGAGAGACTAAGTGTATACACGTGGGTGGGGAGCAGAGGGAGAGAGTGAAGCAGACTTCCTACTGAGTACAAAGCTCACCATGGCGCTTGATCTGAGGAACTGAGATCATGACCTGAGCCAGAATCAGGTGCTTAACCCACTGAGCCACCCAGGTGCCCCTAAATCGATAAATCTTTAAAAAGTAAGATAAAAATAAAATACCAATAGGTGTTGGGACGCCTGTGTGGCTCAGTCAGTTAAGCATCTGCCTTCAGCTCAGGTCGTGGTCCCTGGTCCTAGGATCGAGTTCCACATCAGGCTCCTTGCTCAGTGGAGAGCCTGCTTCTCTGTCTGCCGCTCCCCCACTTATACGTGCACTCCTGCTCTCTCCCTTGCTCTCTCTCACAAATACATATAATCTTTAAAAAAAATACCAATAGGTGTCATCTTCATAAAATACATGGTGGCTGTCTGCCCCTTTTCTACTAGAACCGTCCTGGGGCTTCCCAGATGACTCCAGGGGAGGCCGCAGGTGTAGACGCGGCTCTGCCTCCCTGTCTGGCTCTGTCTCCACCGCTTGCCCCCGTGCTCAGTCCCAGGCACACTGTACCTTGTGCGGTTTCACAGCTGTACCTGGCCCTCAGCAGGCGTGAGAGTGAGTCAGCTGGCAGAGTGTTGCACGTGCTCCCCTGGGCACCACTTTGGCCTTCCCATGGGGAGGGGCTCTATGTGGCCCTGACGCCCTGCGCCCCCCACGGGTGTCCCCAGACGGACTAGGTTCTCCCATTAGACCTGTGGTTGTCACTCGCTTGACTTGCAGAGGCTCAAGCTTTTGGGTGCTCTCTGCTGCCAGTTACTGTTGTTAACCGCAGATCTCTCTGTGGGGCTCCAGCTGCTTGTCAGCCTGTCACTTTCGGGGTGAGGTGGAGAAGAGTGTGAAGGTGCAAGGGGCATGGGGATGCTGGGCCTGCTTGGGCTGGCAGAATCTGTGATATAGCTGAGACAGGGTTTGTGCTCCCTTTCCCAGGAAAGAACGCCCTGCAGCCAGGGCTCCTGTGCAGGGATCCTGTCCCCATGCGGCAGCTGGATGTAATGGAAGCAGCACTGGGCCCAGGTGGGAAGAAACAGGCCGAAGCTTTGGCTTTCTTCCCGTCTGCAGCCCTGAAGGTCTCAGTTGTGATCTTTCTCATCTGCAAAACGTGCGGGAGCATTTGCTGTCCTCTCCTTTACTTGGCCCATGGAAGTGAGAGATCTTTGAGTTGTGAAGGCTTACTGGTTGTGTCCTCTCCTTTCTGTTAGGAAACTGGCTGTCTTCGACACCTGGAGCGCCTTGGCAGTCCACATAGCCATGGACAACACGGTGGTGATGGAGGACATCAGTAAGTGAATGAGAGCTCAGGGGCTGTAGCCGGTGGGACTCAGGGAGCGGCTCCCCGGCCCATGGAGGGGCCTTGAGTGGCATGCAGGTCGGTGCCTATACATGGCCAGGGGATCCCTCATTCTCATCCAGTGTACAATAGGCTTAGGGGACGGGCCCAGACTCTCTGCAGAGCTGGGCTACATTGTACCCCAACTTGCCATGTCCACCTGCCAGAACTTGTTCAGGTGTGCTGGGTCAGTCTTTCCCTGGCACCATGCTTTTCAAGGAAAGGCAAGAACAGCTTTCAGCTGTACTGTCTCTAGCCAAGGTGTAACAGGAAGCATAAAGGAGCATAGCTCTCTTCCTCTTTCTGGAAGGATCCGTGGGAAACTTGAAAGATTCAGGCATCCTGAAGTTTTAGTCACCGATGCTGTGCCAAGAAGGAGTGAGGGACAGGCTGCTTTCCAGAGCCTGCATTCCTGCGGGATCCAGGGTGAGGTGCGGGTTAGGGCCTGGAGGAGACTCAGCCATGTCCCCAGATGATGGCCCCTGGCTCTCGGCATCTTAGGTCATCTGTAGCCATGCTACCAGAGATCAGTGCAGACCTGGGCTTGTCTGAGGAGGACTGGGTCTGTTCTGAAGAGGGCCTGGGCCTGCAGATGTAAGAGTCTCATGGTTGGGGTATGTGTGTGGTTGCGTGGCCATGGTCAGGGCCCTGGAGTCCTCCCCTCCTGAATCAGAAGTGACGCAGGCTCATCAGGGGGATGACTTAGGAAGAACAGCGTCAATATACAACCAGCAAGGACGCTGGGACAGAAACAGTGCCTGGGGTCCTGTGCACAGGTTAGTGAGGTGACTAGTAGGTGGAGGGGATTCTGAATGGCTGTGCTAATTGCTTTTGGCTTTAGAAGCCTCAGGGAGCCGGTGGGGGGTGATACTTAAGGCCTCAGCCAAGGCAGGCGAGCAGCCACTTTTCTAGTCTCAGCTCCTTAGGGTCACAGGTGTGGGAGAGAAGGCTCCAGTTCACCAAAGCAAAAGTTGGAGAACTAGTACTGGCCAAGCCAGGGCTGTCCTGCTATCCGGAGCTGCTCCCTGGTAAAAGCGCGGGCTTTCCGCCTTCCCTGTCTGTTTCAGGGGAAGGGGGCTGGCCGGGGGGAGCCTTGCTGGTTGAGATGTGCCCACCCTCCTTGGGGGGCCACCTGGGCCCCCAGAGCAGCCTCTGCCGGTGCTTTCCCTGGATGGCTTTCGAGCTTCATGAGCGCAGCAGACACTGGGAAGGCCTTGAACATGGGGAGGAGTTAGAGATTGAAGACGACCACGAGACAGCACTCAGAGAGGTACAGCACAGGAAGCGTGCAGGGGGTGCAGACCCTAGGCAGAGGAGACTGTGGTTGGAACTTCCAGGAGGCAAGGACAGCTGGCCGAGGAGGGACAGAAGGTCAGCCTCTCTGTGCTGGAGCTGGCGTTTTCACAGCTGAACGCCTCCCAGTTTTCTAAATGAAGGTTCCTCAGATATGCGCTTCCAGAATGCAGACACAGACACATGGAAGCATCCAGATGAAGTAGTGGTAGGAAACCGCTTTTGAAGAGAGGTGGTCCTGCTGGTCTGGCTGTCTTGTTTTCCTGCTGTGGCAGGTGCTGGTGGGGCTGGGGCGGCATGCTGGGTAGTTATATGGTATGTGGCCGTTGTCACGGACTGGCTTGGAGAGAGCTCATGCATGGTGGGAATGTGAAGGGAACATGACCAAGGGACCCGTGGGTTCCTGGACGCTTGCCATGTCACTGGCCACATGCAGCCTTGGTGAGTCCCTGAAGTGCAACCGTGATGGGCCCTGCATCCATCATTTCTTGAGCTGATCGATGTGAGGGTCTTTGCTGGTGAGGAGGGTGTAGTCGGCAGGGAGTCCCTCCACCCCCATTCTTCATTTTCCAGCTGTGCATTCTGAGGAATTCCAGTCCCGCACTCGTGCAGCCATCCGCCTCCCTCCTGTGTCCCCAGTGGTTGGTGGTCAGCACACCTGCCTTCTCGCTGCTTGGCTGGCCTGGCCTTCCCTGGTTCACTCCAGCCTGTGCTCAAGCTGCTGGGGTTGTATGTGCTTGCCACACCTGTGCAGTCTCCTCTGATCTGGAAAGTTCTCCATCTTGGTTTATTTTCCTGCTTTTTCATAGCACTGACATTTTCAAGAGGTCGGGCCCATTTGGTACAGTGACCCACACTCAGTATATTTGGTTCGTCAGGATTAGATCGGGGAGACCTCTTGGCCGAGAGCACTGCCTGGCGGCTGTCCTCAGCACCAAGGCAGGAGGCTGGTCATTGGCGTTTCCGTGGGTCACCGGGCTCGAGTCATAGCTCAGGCTGTGTCTCTGCCTCCCTGTGATTGATGGGGATTAACGGGGATCCGGGGGTGATACCGAAAGTACATTGAGGATTTTTGCCTGGAATGGTGGTTTCTGTAACCATCCCTCCTGCCGGGTTTACTGGCTAGCAACGTGGCTGGCCCACCTTGTCCTTTCTCTTCCCTAGCCTGGGGTCAGTGGTTTCTCCAAAGAGCCCTGGTTCCGTTTAGCAGGGAAAGGTATTCAGAAACCATGGCCTGGGTGCCTGCTGGGCTGGGGCCCCTGGAATGTCCCTGTCCCCACCACCAGCCTCCAGGGTAGCACACTGATGGAAGAGTAGCAGTGCGCTTAGAAGATACGAGTTGTCTCCACACTGACAAGGGAGGAGCAAGGTTGTTCCTTGATGGCGTCCCAGCCGTGGGGCCAGTGCGCATGCTGCTGGCATGGCCATTTGCTGGCCTTATCACTGCCCGGGATGCGTGGCGGTGTGTGTTTGCTTTCATTCGAGACTGTTTCACGACGACAATTTTAAATTGAACATGCGTAGAAAATGTTTCATTCTTTTTTTTCCTCTGTGGGCGTCAGGATTCATCTTAGACTTGTTTTCCAGATTCAGGTTGTGTGAAGCACTTGACTTCGTTACACTTGTTTCCCTTGACTGAGTAATGACATGCTTGTTCCTTTTGGGTGAGCTTCTGTTGGCTTCTGTTCAGCGCTTGAAAGCACATCTCTGTTTTCCAGGAAGGTTGTGCAGGGGCAGCCTTCCATGTGCGGGGGCCACCGCACTTCCCACGGATTCCAGCCGGCACTGTAACGGCTTCCCGGCGGGAGCAGAGGTCACCAACAGGCCGGCACCATGGAGACCCCTGGTGCTTCTCATCCCTCTGCGCCTGGGGCTCACAGACATCAACGAGGCCTATGTGGAGACGCTGAAGGTGGGCCTTCTCGCTGATCAGCAGAGGGACCAAAATACTGCTTCTTGTTAAAACTTTGCTGTTGTCGCCATATTGGCCCGTTTTACCCTCTGACCACTCCGCCCCCCCCCCCCCGCCCTGTGGACTCCTGGCCTCCACCTGGATTGTCTTGACCGCCTCTCCTGCCGGCCCCCACGCTCACCCTGCAGTCTCTGCTCCCCTGCCCCCAGTCCCCAGCAGCACCGGTCTCGGTGTGGCGCCCCCGCCCCCACACACCTCTCTGCCCTGTGCGTGGGCCCTTTTCACCCCTGTCCGCACCTCCTCCCACAGCCCCTCACTTGGCGCCTTCCGCAGCCCCACCGCCTACATGGGGCTTTCCTGGACACAGCTGCACGGTACCTGCTGATGAAGCTCTTGGGGACCATGTCTTGTCACTCTCCATCCCCTGACACCCCATCAGGCCCTGGCTGGGGAGGAGGTCGGCTTCGTGTGGCATACGGGCTTGTGGTCACCAGACAGTGTGCTCAGCCGCCCGCCTCCCCTCTGCCCTGCAGCGCTGCTTCATGATGCCTCAGTCCCTGGGAGTGATCGGAGGGAAGCCCAACAGCGCTCACTACTTCATCGGCTATGTGGGTGAGTGCTGGTCCTGCTGGCAACTGAAACATCGTGAGGCTCTTGGCTTGACCCTGGGTGTCCGGTGTAGAAGCAGCACGCTTCTGTGAGAGGTCTATATCCCTGCCCAGTCGGTGCTGGCCTCCTGAGGATGCTCCTTCCCTGAAGTGGTCTGGCTCCCACCCCATCTCATGCCTGCTGTCTCCCAGCCTGGCGTGTGAGCAGGTGGATTTCCACGTGGCCCGTCGGAGTGGGACCCCAGTCTGTTCCTTACCGTTGACTTGCTCATCGTCTTTCCCAGGTGAGGAGCTCATCTACTTGGACCCGCACACGACGCAGCCTGCGGTGGAGCTGACTGACAGCTGCTTCATCCCGGACGAGAGCTTCCACTGCCGCCACCCGCCCAGCAGGATGGGCATCAGCGAGCTCGACCCATCCATTGCCGTGGTGCGTCCCCCGCTGTGTGCTGCCTGCTTTCCTGGCCATGGGAGCTCGTGGGCAGGTGGGAAGGAAGGGTCTCCGATTTTATGATTTTGTTTTCAGCGCATTGGAGGAAGTATCACATTGACGTGGTTTCGCATGCACAGGGCGCAGAAGGTTTTAATAATGTCTGTTAGCTTCTTGTGCATGCCTGGGGCCCTCAGCCTTTGTGGTCCCCCATGGCTCCCCGGCCATCACAGCTAGTGGCCCCCCCAACACAGGGGCAGTCTGCTCCACTCCCTGCCCTGCATCACCTTTTTGGGGTTTGGGGTTTGACTTTTCAGTTTTTGACTTAATGTATCTGGCAGATGATTCCTAAGAATGAGCTTCTTTGCTCGGATTACAAGGTAGAATTTTGGGCTGTGATTTGTGTAAACCTATGTATTCTTAAAATGCATTTGATGGGGATGGGGGTCAGAAACACCTGGAAGGAATGGTGTCCCTCAGGGAGTGATTAAGTCCCCGACAAGGCAAATCCTGGTCCCGAGACGGAGCTCTCTGGACCTGTGGTCTGTGGGTCTCGTGTGGTGTTCCTGAGGTGGGTGGCGGGTGGAGCCGTGCCTTGGAGGGTTGAATTCTGGGGGCTGTAAGCGTGGCTCTGTAGTGGACCGAGGCTGGTGCCCGTTGAGACAGAGCAGGTCAGAGTGGCAGTGCTGTGGGCTGTGGGCGTGCGGACACCAGGCGGGAGGGGTGACCCTGTCCTTGCCTGATAGGAGAAGGGCTGCATGTGGGCTCCTCAGGAGATTCCGGCTTCTCGTCTCCCAGCAGCATGTCACGCATGTGCTGTCACCCAAGCCAGGGTGGCACGGATGGTCTCCGGAGGGAGAGGGCACCCGTTTCTAAGATCGCACCTAGAGTTCTGGTGGCGCCTGGAATGTCTAGTAATGTGTTCCTGGCATTGGTGCTGCATGTGCGATGGTTCTAGCCGCGCACCATCGCCGCTGACTCTGCATGGGACCCAGGGCTCCCCTCATCTAGGTGCCGCTGGTGGGAGGCCCACTTTTTGAGTTGTGCTACGCCCTGTGGATTCTGGTGGCATGTGAATGGCCAAGCCATGAAACTGCACATGGCCTCTGTGTCCTGGTCGGTCAGGGTGGAGGGTCGAGCTGCAGACCGAGCCCCCAGAGAAGGGCAGAGACCTAGATCTCCTGTGGCCACACTGCACTCAAGTGTGGTCAGCTCGTGTGCCTCACCGCGTGCTGCTCACGGCTGCTTCTGTTCCAGGGCTTCTTCTGTAAGACTGAGGACGACTTTGATGACTGGTGCCAACGAGTCAGACAGGTGGGTGGCAGGTCCCCGCGTGTGGGTGGTGGTTATGGGAGGCTGTCTCAGGGTCTCTGGCTTGGGGTCCCGCCTCCCTTGGCACCTGGCCCTCAGCTCGCAGTGTGGCTTGTGGCTTCGGCCTCGTGCGCAGAGAACATGGCCACGGAGCTTGTTGTGAGCCTTTGCAGGGCGTTTCAGATTTGCCCGTGTTGTGGCTGCGAGCGGAGGTGGCATGTGGAGTTTGGCGCCCTCTGTGTGAGCGATTGGAGACCTGATGATGCGCAGACCAGCAGAGGCCACCTCCCCGTCCTTGTCTACGGCTCCCTCTGCTGGCAGTGTGATCTATGTGGATGGGGGGTGCTTCGCCACACCCCCCACGGCTGTGTCTAACGGCCTTATCTGCTGACAGCTGTCATTGCTTGGAGGTGCCCTACCCATGTTCGAGCTGGTGGAGCAGCAGCCTTCCCACCTGGCCTGCCCCGACGTCCTGAACCTGTCCTTAGGTGAGTGTGGAGGCCACGGGGCCACATCTCAGGTGGGGACACGGCTGTTCCGGGAGTGGTATGGTCTGTGCAATGTTCTATCCTCTTTGCTTCGCCCAGGTCCTGTTCCATTTGCTTTTGACTTTTAAGATTTGTATGAGCCCAGGATGTGAGCCTTTGGTGGTGTATGTGTGGGACAGGGTGCTGCCAGATAGCCTGGCTTGGGCCCCAAGTGGCAGCAGGGCACTCTGCTGCCCTCTCCTTCACCACATGTGTGATAAGCTGGCCCCCAAGCATGGAGCCAGGTGTGCTCCTCACGTGGCCCCTTGGGTCCTTGTGAGCTAGAACGTGCCAGGCTCTCTGCGACGGTCCAGTGTCGGGCGGCAGCCCTGGAATGGCAGGCCACAGGTGGGCTCCCTGTCCTGCTGCTCAGTGGCTCTAGGCCCAGGGCTGCCTCCCTCACTCAGGCCCTCAGTTTCCCTAAAGTGAAGCGACTTGTGGCACACAGAGAACTGGGACTCAGCAGGCAAGCCATGCACACATCCCGTTCAGGCAGCCATCTGTCTCTGTGATGGTGACGGGGCCTGTGTCCCTGTCCCTCTGAGGGGTGCTGCCCCTCTTGGGACAGGAAGCCCTGGTCTCCCAGCCACTGCCCCTTCCCTCTGTGCTTTGCCGAGAAGCGTGTTCTGTTTCAGAAGTGCCTGTGGGATTCTCTTTCCTGCCCTCCCCTCGCCAGCCGAAGCTCCCAGCCTGTGGAGCCCCACCGCCCAGGAGGGCCAGTGCCTCAGCAGGGCGGTCCTGGTGTCCCCTTGCCTCCTGCTGCATCAAGGGCGAGCAGGCCACATGCAGGGTGTGGGTAGTGTGTCTCCTCGTCCCCGCCAACCAGAGACCCCATGCCAGGCGTCTAATGAGGTATTGTCTTGTTTCTTCTAGATTCTTCTGACGTAGAGCGACTGGAAAGATTCTTTGATTCAGAAGATGAAGACTTTGAAATCTTGTCTCTTTGAAAATCCTAGAGTTGGGGGACAGTCTTCACTGGCCCTTCCTGGGGGGCCCCTTCCAGAGCCCAGCCCTGCCTCAGGGCGCTTGGCGCCGCCATGTTTCATCCATCCAGCCTGCCCATCCACTGAATGCCCACGCCCCATGCTGCCTCCACCCACGGATGGAGGACTGCCCTGTTCTGGGGGCCTTCCTGCGAGCCTGGGGACTGTGCAGGCCCGGAGGGCTCGCCGGGCTCCCTGGCACAGACGAGGCGCCGCCCGTGGGAAGGCCCGTGCAGCTGGGCAGGCGCTCCTGAGAGCTGAGCCGTTCGCACCTGAGAGCTCTCCCTGCGACACGGCCCGCCCTGTGTTAGCGTGCTGCCTCTGCCCTGCTTCCTCCTGGGCACTCGGTTCTGGGTTTGCTTTGGAATTAAAGTCCTATTTGAAGTTCCAAGGACATGAATTTCTGTGGGGCATGTCCCAAGTCAGGCTCCGGAGAGCTGCAGGGCGGGCGTGCATGAATGGTGCCTGCGGACTTGGTCCGGCCCTGCCCTCCGAGGCCCCTGCCCTCTGCACCGCCTGCCCGGCGTGCTTCTCAAGGGCTACCTCAGCGGGAGATCGGGCTGAAGAAGTGCGGCAGGGTTTCTCCTTCCTCTGGGGAGCAAACTAGTAAAGTGGTGGCACATGGCGGAAACCCAAAGATGTCCCCGTGCTTGGGACTCACTAGGACAGGGATGTGCCTGCTTTCCCAGAGCCGCAGGTAAAGCCCATGTGGGCTGCATCTTTCTCACGCCACCTCTGCGGGTCCGGGCATCCCAGACGCCCCGCGTGCTGCTGCTTGCTTGTCGCGCCAGCTTCCTCTGGGTCAAGGTTGGGTGGGGGGAGGAGCTGCTCTGGGGCCCCAGACCTGGGGTGGGGGGTGTGTGCAGCCTGCTGCCATCCAGGGCCTTCCTCCCACTCACCAAGGCTTTAGGTGGTTTGGGGCCGGAAGGTAAAGCTCATAGCTTTATGATGTGAGCCTGGTGCTCCATCCCTCTTGTGTACCAGTCAGAGACATATCCAGATCCTTCTCAGCACTAACGTCAGCACCTGCAGCCTTTAGCCTGAGTCCTCTGGGCCCAGGCTGCACCACTCCCATTCAGATTTGCCGTCCATCTTGGAAGCCGGGCTTCTGTCCCACCAGAAGTGTAAATGGGCTGTGGGGGACTCGGCCAGAGGTGATGGGCTGTCCCAGAGCGCCTCCACGCACAGCCGCCTCTGAGCCCTGCCTGGGAGGGCGGGGCCTGAACTCATGGTCGCCCCAAGCCTGCTCGTCCTGCCGGCCAGTGTGCTGCCCACATAAGCGACTTTCTCTTGTTTTGTTTTTCCTGTTTCTTGCGCCCCGTCGGTGAGGTAGAGTTGGGGGAGCAGGGAAGGTTGGCTGGTTTCCACTCCTCCAGCACTGCGTTTCTCTGATGAACACCTGTGCTGCTGCGGGCTGGGTACCGGGGGACGTTGCGGCTGCCACTGCTGCTGGTACAAACCAGGGACGCAGGCGATGGCCTGACCCACGGAGAGCTTTGTTTCATGTGTTTTGAAAAAGGCTTACTGAAGAGAATGTTATTCATTCTTAGTAGTGTAGTTTGCAATTCTTAATGGCAAATAATAACAGTTTCAGTAGAAAACACTTCGTTGTCTGTGTCTTGATTTTTTCTCAAGTTCTACATGGATGTGGTTAAAGCAGGAATGTGGCCCAGGCTCCTGATGCCACCAGAGGGCTCCAGGGAGGGACCTGGCGGGGCTATGGCCTCAGACCCATCCCACATCCTACCCAGCCTGTGAGCGGTGATGCTATAACTTGGCCTCGCGGTCCCCAAAATGAAGAACACAAGGGAATTTGCTTTTAGAACACACAGGATCTCCTTCAACAAGAGGCTTTGTAGAAAGTGTCCCCAGTGGGGCGCTTGGGTGGCTCAGTGGGTTAAGCCTCTGCCTTCAGCCCAGGTAATGATCTCAGGGTCCTGGGATCGAGCCCCACATCGGGCTCTCTGCTCAGCAGGGAGCCTGCTTCCCCCTCTCTCTCTCTCTGCCTGCCTCTGCCTACTTGTGATCTCTGTCAGATAAATAAAATCTTAAAAAAAAAAAAAAAGTGTCCCCAGTGCAACTAGCTTTATTTTGGTTTGTAAAAGCAGCGTCCCTCAAGGTGGGCTGAGTGCTGGCTGCAAGTCACACAGGACATGGGCAAGGCCCATGGTGGGACAATCCAGAGGGGGCTGTGAGGGGCTTAAGGCAGACACAGGTGGGAAGCACCGGCTGCTTCCCAGGTGAGGAGGTCCACCTGCATCGTGGCCTCTCGTTAGGAATTTCTCGTGCTGGGTCATCCCCCATACGCAGCCACTTCGAGCCACAGCTTTCCTATCAGGATCCCAGAGCCCAGTGGTCTTAAGTCAAGGTCTCTGCAGGGCTGATTTCTGCTGGAGGCTCCAGGGCACAAGGTTTGCCCTCCTTTCCCCCTTCCTGGAAGCTGCCCGGGTTCCGCCTTAAGCGTCCCAAAGGTGTGCCCTCTGACCTGTCCTGTGGCCACCAATGTCCCCTGACTGGGACTCCTGCCTCCCTGCAGGAGACCCCTGTGACTGTGTCTTGGGCCTTCCCAGACAAGGTAGGAGGGTCTCTCCACTTCGCTGTGCGGCTGCCATTCCCAGGCTCCGGTAGGACCACGTGTCCATCTTTGGGGGCCATTACTCTGCCCACCCCAGTGCAAAAGCCACCGGAGCTGGGGGCTCTGGACCATGTCACATACCGTACGCCTGCCCCACCTGCCCCCTGCCCCTGTTGGCCAGGCCTGCCCTTGCAACCCTGGCCAGATGTTTCAAGACACATGCTGGATTCCCTGAAGAAAGCTTAAGTCTGTTGGGCTGTTTTTGCCTCCAGCCTGGTTGCACCACCCACCACCTACGGGAGCCCCTCTGCTCTGGCTGCTCCTGAGTTCCCTCCACCTGTGACCCCACGGCCTGGCCCGCATCCTGCACCCACAGCTCCAGCTGAGCAGACTGCTCCGCCTGTGTCCTGGTCTGCGCTGGCCGCCTGGCTTACTCATCTCCCCCACCCCCACCCCCCGGTGGCCCTGATGAGGGTGCAAGAGGCAGAAGTTCGGGGTCTTGGGAGATTGGGCTGACACGCACTTTCCTCGCAGAGCCTTGGTTGTGGGAAGCAGCACAAAGACGGCTACCGATAGTGCTGCCAGACCAGCCCTGTGGGTGACACAGGGCCCGAGTTGGACCCCGTGTGTGGTCCTTATGGTGTCTGTCTTGGCGGCGGGTCCTCTGGCTCTGAACTCACGTGTGCTGCCCACTCTGGGCGGACACCTGGCCATCAGCAGGGCCCCACCAAGCTGCAGCAGTCCCCTCTGTGAGCACAGGACATGGAACTACGACTCCATGACTGTCCCCTTGTGGCCTCACTCAAGACTGCATAGCCACCAGGCACGCTCACCTATTATGTCCTATGCCCCCTTCTGAGGTGCCACCCGAGGACCAGGACTGAGGGCCAGCTGCCCAGTGACCAGACCAGGAACCCTGACAAGCACAGATGCTGGCCACACGCAGGCTCTGCCCAGGCCCCACACAGAGAGCACATCCGAGCCACAGGAGAAAGCTACTGCCCTCCAGGTGGGGGATCCCTGCCTGCCCTCCATTCAGCGGTCTGCACTGCTCTGTGCTCTGGGTTCTCCAAAACGCCAGACCAGTCAGGGTAGCTTCAGTGGGACAGAGTGGAAACACCAACACCAAGCCTGTGTCTGTAGTGCTGAGGTGGGACAGGCCACCGTGCCCCTGGGATGCAGCCTGGCTGGACCCAGCTTGGGGCCGTGCCTGCTAGGAAGTGCTCTCTGGCAAGCCCTTGGCTGCTAAGGAAGGCGGGAGCTTCCACGGTGCCTTTTCAGATGCGTTTTTATTGGTGCCTCTAAGAAATTCAGAATTTCAGGTGATGACCATCTCACTGGAACTGCCTGCATGTGGTCATGAGACTCCCGTAAGAAAGCACTGTCATTTACTGGTGCTTGGGGGGGGGTAGGAGGACAGAGGAAGCTTGCAGCACTGCCTGCGGCGCCCCCGGTGTGCCCTGCTGACTTGTCTCTGCTCTGTGCACCGTGAGCACATCGTCTGGGAGTCCACCATCCCCCCCAGCTCGGCCTCACAGGACCAAAAGACGGGGCGCTGCATGGCTACTTCCATAGCTCGCCTAGTGGCCTCTGTGTGACGGCCTGGATGGTGTCCACAGAGAGGGCGTGGATTTCCTTGTGGACATCTTCGATGCTTTTGGAGGCGTCGACCATCTGTCCCCATGGAGGAGGCAGGAGAAAAAGAAAATGGTTAACGCTCTTCATTACTTTCAGTGTGCAGGGATTTCAGACGGGGCTGGGTTCTAGAAGGGTACAGTACACCTCTGGGGTTCTTCATCCTACACCTTTGTCTGACCTTTGCCCTTCTCAGCGGAGGCGGGGGGGGACTTGGCCTATGTCCTTGGGATGAAGCTGACCCACACTCCTGCTGCAGCCCAGATACAGGAGAAACACCCCATCTTGCCACTGATCAGACCCTCTCCCTCCCCAAGCTCATGCCGGCGGGCATGTCAGTGGGGCGCCCCCGCACCAGCACCCACCCCATCCTGGTTGGTGGGGCTTCGGTCTCTGCAGAGGAGGCCGGGAGAGTCTGCCCCTCTGAGGCCATGCCCGGATGCTGCTCGGAGTGCAAGAAAGTTCTCCACAGAAGCTAACCCTGGGTTTGACTCCTCTCCTTCTGGGGAAGAGGGTTCCATCCTGACCCAGCTGGCTGCTCTCCCCCTCGATGAAAGCATGAGGACCTCTGGTCACTATACGACCCAGCCACCTGAGAAACCACTCTCTGCCTGAAGCAAGGATGACCAAGCTGGACAGAATCCTCTGTGTGCTCAGGGTGGGGTACCCTGACTCACTGTTGGTCCAGGCTCCGTCCTGATGGGGCCTCTGGGGCAGGCAGTTCTGCAGAAGCTGCGGCAGTTGTGGACTCACTCAGAGGCATGTATGACCATCTGGGAGGTCTGACTGCACGGCTCGCAATGATCTGCCCAGCCTGAGACCCCACAGTGACAGCTGCCTGAAGGCTCTTGGGACTGCTTATTGCAAACCATGAACTAGGCTGAACCTCACACGTGGGTGTAATACATGTGCGTGCACACACACGCTGCATAGGACCTCGTACACTGGCATACTACGTGCACACACACACTGCACATGGGCGTACTATGCACACATTACAGATAAACTCGCACACACACAGGTACTACACATGCGCACATTACATATAAACTCTAATGCAGGCAATCACGTCTAAACCACATCTCTAGTCCTCTGAGGGCCTTGGGGCAGAGACAGCACCGTGCCAACAAGCACCTGGGCCCCCGGACCCAGGTTTAGGATAGCTTTCCCCCAAGATGGGAGCATGGAAACCCGGGGAAGCAGCCAAACCCAGGGCGGGGCTGGAAGTGGACAGGATGAACCCCGAAAGTATTAATGTGCTGGGGGGCAGTCAGTGTCCCAACATGCAGGGGACCCACGAGAAGTAACAGGAGCTGCTGGGCGGGGCACAGCATAGACGGCAGGGAGTCAAAACAGAAACACGAGTCCGTACAGATATGAATGTACAAGTAAACTGAAAATCCGATGAGCTGTGAGATTTTTACATGGTTTATAAGAATCTCATCACAAACTGCTTCTTATTTACAGTCCATGTCCCCGTGGAGAAGCCTCGCAAGTACCACTGAGCCAAGTGGTGAAAGGGGATGTCACTCGGCCATACAAAAGGATGAGCTCTTGCCATTGGCAAGCACACGGGGGGCCCTAGATGGTGTCATCCTCCGTGAAATGAGTCACACGGAGAAGGACAGATACTGTAGGATTTCGCTTATATGTGGAGTCTCACGTAAGTGAATAATCGCACACAGAAGCTGAGCCATAAGCGCAGAGGACGCACAACTGCCCCCTCAGGGGAAGGGGTGGGGGCAGACAGATGAGAGGCACCGCACAGGGACTGTGGTCAGGGATCCCGTGATGGCGTTGTGTACTGACAGGTGCGGCCACCTGTGTGGTGAGCCCCGAGTAACGTACAAGCCTGTCCAGTCACTTGGCTGCACACCGACGTTCGTCTAAGTGTGTGTCAGCGGCATGTGAGTAAAAATAAATACCCCAGAAAGTGAACATCACCAGGAGTGGAACAAAAGGGAATCCTACACACATGGCAGGACGCAGTGAGAACCCAGTGCCCCTCCCAGGCCACCAGCAAAGACACACAGCCTGGATCCCACCATGGGGAAAAAGCCAAGTCCATTGGACACTCACAAATCACCCCATGAACTTCAAAAGTGTCAATGTCATGAAAGTCACACAAGCTGGAGAATAGAGAGGGGACTGTACACTGAGTCATTTGTTAAAAAGGACACTATTGGGAAGGCGCCTGGGTGGCTCAGTGGGTTTAGGCCTCTGCCTTCGGCTCAGATCATGATCCCAGGGTCCTGGGATCGAGTCCCGCATTGGGCTCTCTGCTTGGCAGGGAGCCCGCTTCCTCCTCTCTCTCTCTCTCTCTGCCTGCTTGTGATCTCTCTCTGTCAAATAAATAAATAAAATCTTAAAAAAAAAAAAAAAAAAAGAAGGACACTAGTGGGACCAGTGGGGGAGCCTGAATGGGGCTTGGGGACTTGAGGGTAGCAAGGGATGCACAGTAATGTCCCGGTTTTGACAGTACACGGCAGGGAGGGGGCATCAGAGACTAATTTGTACTTGCAAGTTTTAAGGCTTTTTTTTTTTTTTTGTTATTGTTTAAAAATCTTTTCAAAGAATGTTAAAAAAGTTAATTTTCAGACAAACAAAAGCTGAGAGTTCTATCCTAGGAGATCCAGCATACAGGAAATGTTTAAAGATGTTCTTAAGTTGAAGAAGTGACATGAGATGAAAACTGGGGAGGTTCAGGGTGGAGAGAGCCAGCACTGTTGGAAGGAGATGGTTTCCTGTTTCTTTCCCCACTCCCACTCCAGATTTCATACCTTCTTGTCTTGTTCTTTACAGGGTTTGAAATGTGTTATAAATTAAGAATTGCTGGGGCACCTGGGTGGCTCAGGGGGTTAAAGCCTCTGCCTTCGGCTCAGGTCATGATCTCAGGGTTCTGGGATCGAGCCCCACATGGGGTTCTCTGCTCAGCAGGGAGCCTGCTTCCCTTCCTCTCTCTCTGCCTGCCTCTCTGCCTACTTGTGATCTCTATCTGTCAAATAAATAAATAAAATCTTAAAAAAAAAATTAAGAATTGCTTAAACCACATAGAACTGATTAACAAAGGAAAAACAGAAAAGGAACAGAACTTTGTAATTTCTTGTATGATAAAATTATACAGTACAAAAATGGGACTGAAGCTTCCATGTGTGGAAAGAAATGCCCTTTTCGACCATTAGACAAGTGCACGGGCTCACCACTGATGTGAGCTCATGAGAGATGGAGAGCCTGTGGATATGCAGGCATCCTCTGCTTTGTGAAAGTTCGCAGTACACCAGTTTGCTTTCGTGAAGGATTTAGGTTAGTACCTATTTTTGCTAACAGAAAAAGATCCAGAAAGTGTTTTTGCTTTTACAAAAAAAGGTGAAAAGCAGAAAGTTCATTCAGCGTCAGCACTGCAGGGAGCCGTCCCAGGCACCCAGAGCAGCAGAAGGCGCCCACGTGCTCCTTCTCGGGAATCTCTCTTGGCAGCTCAGCGTCTGGCCGCCAGAGCTTGGCTCTGTGACTGGGAGCCTGTGGGCTTCATCTCCATTGACTCTGGGCGTCTGTTAGCAAGTTGTGTCCTAAGTACCAGAAAAGCCTAAGAGAGGTGATTTTCTAGCTCTGGGAATGCTCGAAAAGATTTCTGTGTCAATCAGTGGTGATTGCTTCTTTGCTTTATGGCATTTTCACTCATAAGCGGTTTCATGGGAACACTGTACTTCTAGCTAGTGGCGAAAGCCATACTTTAAAAATATGTGTGCCACCTGTGTCACAAAGAAGCCCCCCTGAGAGGAACCCCCACCCTGGCAATGAGCAAGCAGAAGACAGTGCGGACGAATGGGGAGGGCCGCAGACAGGCAGGTCACGGGAGAAGCACCAACCAGACAAGATGGCCAAACTAGGAGCCGAGGCCAATGGAGCAGCAAGAAGGCTGCCTGTCTCACCAGTAAGACCTGTCAACCATCCACAGTATCAGCTTTCTGGTTGCCAGGCTGCCTCTGACCACACGGGGACAAAGCTGGGTCCAGGCGACCAGGGTGCCCTCACACGAACTGGGTCTGGGGATGGGCATGTGCAGGGAGGCATGGGGAAGGGGCCCAATCTGGCACCCCTGGTGTCCCTCCTCAGGGAGGACCTGACTGGTCCTTCATGGATGGAGACTGGGGCTAGGCCCTGGGTGAGGTGCGGAGGTGGAGGGAGCAGGGCTGCAGGGCACAAGGAGATGGCAAAGTGTGGTGGGGGGGTGGGCATGAGCCTGAGGGTGAGGCCCAGGCCTCTGAGTGAGCGTGTAGACAAGTGCTCATCCCTACGGAAGGAAACAAGGAATGGCTCTGGGGCCGAACTGGTAGGATAGGGTTGAGAGGGAGACAGCAAATGACTCCCAGGGGGTGGGGGATGAGCCCCAAACCAGCCAGAGTGTGACTCACAGGTGAAAGAGAGAAGGCAGTGTGAGGAGTGCCTTACAGGTCGATGTTCTAGGTGACAAGCATGGCAAAACCTGGCGGAGGACAGCTGCCTGTGCAGGACTGCTGTTTGGGAGGGGCTGTCTGGCCCATTCTCCCCAACTCACCCAGCAGGTACCCATCTCCCTTGTTTCACACAATCACAAAGGAGCAGAAACTGAGAGGGTGTCCTGAGGCACCCTCCGGTGGAGCAGCCCTTGGCCAATGGCTCCTCTCAGGCGCAGGACCTGAGCCACTTGTCGGCGGCTTCCAGCCGGCCGGTTCTGGGGGCAACACCAGAAGACACCCTCACCTTCCAGTTCAGGGTCTCGTCCGCCATCAGCTGGTGGAAGCAACGCAGTGCCCGCTCCTGGAAGTTCCCGTTCTCGTAGCGTTCACGGCCGAACTCTCCCCGCGCCGCAGCCTCCGCCAGCCGTAACTGAAGGAACACCACCAGGTCCGGCTTGGGGAGGCCCACGTCCGGCTGCTTGCACCAATCCAGGGAGAAATTCTGGCAGCATGGAACCCAAGAGTTAGAGAAAGAAGGTTTAATGGGGTCTAATTCTTTTTTTTTTTTTAATTTGACAGGCAGATCACAAGTAGGCAGAGAGGCAGGCAGAGAGAGAGAGAGAGGAGGAGGAGGCGGGCTCCCCGCTGAGCAGAGAGCCTGATGCGGGACTCGATCCCAGGACCCTGAGATCATGACCTGAGCTGAAGGCAGAGGTTTTAACCACTGAGCCACCCAGGCGCCCCTAATGGGGTCTAATTCTTGATTTCAAAATTCATAAAAGGGGAAAAATGAGCTAATGTCCAGCTGATATACCAAAAATGGAGCCTTCTTACATGGTAGTGGTTTTTATTCCTAAGATCTCAAATGGTTTTGCCTTCTCCTTCATTTGCTTTGACTTTGTGAATATACATTCAAAGACAGGATTCCCCATAGCCCTGTGGAATCAGCACCCACAGCCTGGGTCCAAGGGTGGGCGTGCCAACACAGTCCCATGCCCTCTGGCCAGGCAGAATGCTCAGTCCACGTGGCAGACCCTGGAGGCCCACCGCACACAGGAGGCCTGGGGTAGGCAGCAGATGGGCCCATGGGGGAACGACCCCTAGTTTGGGTCCTGTACCCACACCTCTGCTGGGTAAGGGCGTGAGCCCCCTTGAGAGAATGTTGGAGCCCTGCTGCAAGCATGCGCCACAGGCCTCTCCTCCACCCTCCTGCTCCTATTCATCTCATCAACTTCTAAAAATAGTGTCCCCATTTTTGGAGGAAAAGGTCATGTCCAAGAAGGCCCTGTCTCAAAGCCGCAGAGCTCTGAAGACTTAGGTTTAATAATTTTTTTTTTAAAGATTTTATTTATTGGGGCGCCTGGGTGGCTCAGTGGGTTAAGCTGCTGCCTTCGGCTCGGGTCATGATCTTGGGGTCCTGGGATCGAGTCCCGCATCGGGTTCACTGCTCAGCGGTGAGCCTGCTTCCCCCTCTCTCTGCCTGCCTCTCTGCCTACTTGTGATCTCTCTCTGTCAAATAAACGAATACAATCTTTAAAAAAAAAAAAAAAAGATTTATTTATTTGACAGGTAGAGATCACAAGTAGGCAGAGAGGCAGGCAGAGAGAGAGAGGAGGAAGCAGGCTCCCCGTTGAGCAGAGAGCCCCATGCGGGGTTTGATCCCAGGACCTTGAGACCATGACCTGAGCTGAAGGCAGAGGCTTTAACCCACTGAGCCACCCAGGCGCCCCAAGACTTAGGTTTAGAACCCAGCTCTGCACTGGGAGCTAAAGGCTCAAGTAAGGTACTCAGCTGAGGAGTGAGCCCATCAGCCCCCACAGACCCCCAGCAGCACATCAGGAAGACGCGAGGGAGACAGTCCAGGACATGACGGTCAGTTGCCCCATCCTCCTCTTCCAGATGGAATCTCACTGACCAACACTTCCACAGGGCAAGAGTCCTTTTAGAAAAATTCCAGCCAGCACATGAGGAATGATGAGCAGAACTGAGGTCACCATTGTGCAACCCCTCGTGAAGGTACCATCACCCAGGGCTGTTACCACAAACGAGATAGCCAGATACCCTGTGTCTCTCGATATGAGAGCCCAGAACTCCTTCAAGTAACCTCCTCAAAATAAAATCTTAAAAAATTTTAATGCAAGGAAAAAAGGAAATGTGGGAGCCTGTATCATCACAGAGATCTAAGACACACGTCAAGTACGGCCCTGACATGGATTCTGATCCAGTTCGACTGCAGAAACCCAGGATGAGTCTATTTCTAAGTAAATGGCCACTGCACACACGGACCGAATGATGGCAGCATAAAACACCTGCATTTGTAAGAAGTCATTTTTGGGACATGAGCTGAATGAAGTGTTCACGAAGGAGCTGGTGATGTGTCTGGTGGGTCGGGGCAGAGAGCAGCAGGGGACAGTGCTGGGTGGGATATCGTTTTCTCAGCTGGTATGTAGCTGAAAAGTTCTACTAAGCCACAGACCACAGTGGCAGAGTAGCCCCTGTACCCCAAATGACCGCCCCATGGCTGGCTCGCGGAGGCTGGGAAAACCCACAGAAGGTGCCCGACATGCACCACCCACTCTGCAAGCATGACACTGAAGAGAGGAGCACTGCTGAGCGACCATCATGGGGAAGGGACATGGCGACACCCACCGTTGACAATACCGACGAGCTATGGCTCTGTGAACGTCTGCTCCTCCCACCGATACATAGCAAGTGGACCAGGCAAAGGGAAGGGCCCTAACGCACCACATGCTCCTGAGTCCACACCTGGCATCATCCCACTGGGGCCACGCGGCACTCACCTCCTTTGCACTGGTGAAGGCGACACCAGAGAATGCATATCTGTCAACGACAAGGGTGATGCCCTGGCCCAACTTCTTCTTGATCAGAGGCCTAAAAACAGAGAGCGTTCCTGAGCCATGGTCCTGGCTTCCCAGGCCAACAGTGTAAGTCACCAATACATACACCAGCGCAGTGAAGGGAGGACAGGGCGGCGATTTGCAGCCTCGCGTGTATTCAGAAAAGCTCCAGGTCTTCTCTTCAGAAGATGCCACTGGGGTACTCCCAGCAAAGCCCAATGTGGAGAAGAAAAGTCCACGAAAATAGAACAATCACAACTGCTGAAGACGAATGAACAGAGGCAGGCTTGAGGGCTGTTTGGGCGAGGATGGGGAGGGGGATGTGCAGGGGGGATGCGGAGGGGCTGGGTGATCCTGCTGGGAAGGAGAGCCCCGGAGAGCAAAGGCGCAGATGCAGTGAAGATGGGATCATACTTGCTGCCTAGAGTCTGAAGGGCCAGGACGAGGAGGGACAGGCTGGCCAAGGATGTCCTCAACCAGGTGACGGCAGCTCAACTCCCCCCCCTGCCCCAAGACCTTAGGAGGACGTGCAGACAAGGAGCTTGACGTTAGTAGGAAGTGTCACTTGCACTTTGTGGAAGAGAAAGAGGAGATGTCCTTGAGGAGCTCACAGAACGGTAGGGAGGGAGAAGGTACACCTCCAGCAGTAAAATGCGGTTTCCATCACAGCATTAGCTGTAATCGCAAACTATTAAAAACAATTACTTGATCTCACAAACAGAAAATTGGTAGAAAATATAACTACAGCACATGCACAAGAGGATGATTCTGCTGTATGAGGAGTAAGGGCCATGTCCGTCAGTTGGGAAAGCAGAGGACCACATGTGACAGGTTACGTTTTGAGGAACGGGGCAAACTGGAGAATGAAGACATCACATACATCTCTGCCTGTGTGTAAAATAATTTCAGAGGGGAACACTAGAATGGAATAGGGGGCAGCTGGGTGGCTCAGTGAGTTAAGCCTCTGCCTTTGGCTCAGGTCATGATCTCAGGGTCCTGGGATCGAGCCCCACTTTGGGCTCTCTGCTTGGCAGGGAGTCTGCTTCCCCCTCTCTCTCTGCCTACATGTGATCTCTGTCGATTAAATAAATAACATCCTTATTAAAAAAAAAAATGGAATAGGCTACCCACAGAGGATGGGCAGAAGTGGGTGGGTAAGGCAGTGACCTTTTTCTATGACTCTGACTTTTAGAAGCATTTAATGTTTCATGTATTCAAAAATTAAATCAGGGGCGCTTGGGTGGCTCAGTGGATTAAGCTTCTGCCTTCGGCTCAGGTCATGATCTCAGGGTCCTGGGATCGAGCCCCACATCGGGCTCTCTGCTCAGCAGAAAGCCTGCTTCCTCCACTCTCTCTGCCTGCCTCTCTGCCTACTTCTGATCCCTCTCTGTCAAATAAATAAAATCTTAAAAAAAAAAATTAAATCAAATGGGGAAAAAAAATCCCTAAAATCACATACAAAGTCAAATGGACATGTACCCTGGTGAACACACAGTGAAGAGCAGAAAATCCTGCCCAAAGAGACCTCTGAACACAGCACTCAGGGTGCCCCTGTTATAAGGACAGAGGTGAAAACCAGCAGTGACCTCTATGTAGGCTTTTACAGAGGTGGGTAGACTAACGATGCCATGAGCCAGGAAGAGCATGGCACCGGAATGGACCACCAGTTATCAGTGACCACAGAGAGAGAGAGAAACAGACACAGACAAGATAAAATTACACGCAGGTCCGACCACAACTGGAGTCTAGAGTCAGGGATGCTCACTAGCAGCAAGCACCCAGCACCCAGATGTTGCACTCTGCAACTACACAGAAAGGAGCAGCTGGCTCCTGGGCTGGAGCAGGAGAAAACACAAGAGAAACCTGAACATCTTGTTCTCCCAGAAAGTTCTCAAAAAATGGGACACAGGAGCCAACGTGAAGAGATTTCCAGAGGCTAAATTTGCAATAATCTGAACATCAAAACAGCTGATAGTGTGACCCTCCAAGTAAAAAAGAGCATGTGAGCCCATGTTGATGATGGGACGCACGGATGAGCAGGGGAGGCTCTTTCTTACGTAGGAAGCTGACTAATACATGCAGAAGTGACGGATTAGAAAAGTCACCATCTGAAATCACAACAGACTCAAGCAGGTTTATTAATGAACAATGAAGTACAAAATCAAAGTTTGATAAGGAAGGGGATATTTATGTAGTTTTATCGTATTCCCTCCCCTTTCTTATACTGATTTTTTAAAAAGATTTTATTTATTTGCCAGAGATAACACACAAGCAGGGGGGAGCATCAGGTAGAGGGAGAAGCAGGTTCCCCACGGAGCAGGGACCCTGATGTGGGACTTGATCCCAGGATCCCGGGATGATGACCTGAGCTGAAGGCAGATGCTCAACTGACTGAGCCACCCACATGTCCCTCCCCTTTTGACTACTTGTAACAGGAAGGAGTCATTTGGTGGAACAGCCTGGCCAGCACACCTTTCACAAGCAATCCAGTGATGGCCAAACCGCACTGGATCCCTCCTGGCTCACTGTCCTAGACAACTGACCCAACGTCACTTCCATGGTATTCTTGACAAAAATACAAATCCAGCTCTACTTGTGAGGAAACATCAGACCAACTCTGAATTTCATAAAATAAATGACCTGTAAATTTTTAGAAAATGAGCAAATGATAACACAAGTGTGACAAAGTATGAATAACAGGTGAAGTCTGGATTCTTGGCACTGTTCTTGCAACTCTTCCAGCTGACTAGAATTATTCCAAAGTAAAAACTTAAACATATGTAAAGTAGAAAACTGTTAGATTGGGGCGCCTGGGTGGCTCAGTGGGTTAAAGCCTCTGCCTTTGGCTCAGGTCATGGTCTCAGGGTCCTGGGATGGAGCCCCGCATCAGGCTCTCGGCTCAGCAGGGAGCCTGCTTCCTCCTCTCTCTCTGCCTGCCTCTCTGCGTACTTGTGATCTCTCTCTGTCAAATAAATTCTTGCAGGCAGCGCTATTTCCGACTCTCCTGGAGGAGCACTGGGTTTTGGTAAACAGAGATGAGGGAAATGGAGGGTGTCACCCCATTCTGCGAGGGGAGTGCCACACGCTCTGTGGTCCCGAACTTTAAAAATGCCAGAGGACAAGCATTTTTGGGAACCAGCAACTGACTCAGTTAAGATGAAGCATAGCAGAGAGGTGGACAATTAAAGGGCTGGAGGAAAACACCAGTTTCTCTAAAAGTTCTTCCAAACAGCCCAGGTTGACTGAGCCCTCACTCCCAGGCCTGCCTGGCCAGCTTTCCTTGACCCTGGCTGGGGGTGCCGCCATGGGACACCACCACGACCGCCACTCTGATGAGGAAGCCGTGGTGCAGAGCAGCTGTGCAGGGTCACGGTCACACAGCTGGTGGGCAGTGGTGCCACATGTAACCCTGGCATCCGACCTGTCACCCAAGGACTTTCAAAACTAACCAATCAAATGGCAGTGGCTGGAATGACCCGAAGGTGTAGCTGTGGGAGCTAAGGCAGAAAAGATGGAGCATAGGCACGCAGACCTGTGTATCGGGGGCAGGATCACGAGGAAGCCAGGTTAGCATTTTCACTTTTAAATGGAACTGCCTTATTTTTCTATAAAGCCCCAAAAAGTAAAATCGGAACAATTATACCCATAAATTTCAGATGTATTAAGGACTATAAAAATGATCTCATTTTGCTCTTTTCCTTGGGAGTGGAAAGGACTTTCCAAAGCAGACACCACTAAACCAGAAGAGAGCAGTGCAGGCTTGACTGTAAGAGGGAACGGTGCAAAACCACGAACAAGCATCTGGCCGAATCTACTGCCCACAGCCTTTCTGGAGACCACCCCAGACTGACTAGAAAGTCATAGCTCAGCCAGGCAGCATCGGAAAGCCAGTTATGAGATGGTTTGTATGGGAGAACCTCTTTATTTATGTTAAAAGATAAATGGAAACATGGGGCGCCTGGGTGGCTCAGTGGGTTAAGCCTCTGCCCTTCGGCTCCAGTCATGATCTCAGGGTCCTGGGATCAAGCCCCACACCCGGCTCTCTGCTCAGCGGGGAGCCTGCTTCCCCTCTCTCTCTGCCTGCCTCTCTGCCTACTTGTGATCACTCTGTCAAAATAAATAAAATCTTAAAAAAAAAAAAAAAGGAAACAAAAGCATCTAAAAGCACACAGCACAGGCACTTGCTCACAGTTAAAAGCTGAGTGAAAAGGTAGAAAATGTAAAGTAAAAGGGGGTGGGGGGGAGTAAACTGTGAACTTCTGTTAATAATGTTGTCAACATGTGGCACTGGGGGGCTGTTTCTGACTCCCGACAGCTCCTAATCTCAGGGGCCTGGGAATTGGGCTCACACTCAGCACAGAGCATGCCTGTCTCCCTCCCTCTGCGCCCCACCCCCACCCTCCTCTCACCCTCTCTCATTCTCAAAGAAATAAAATCTTTACAGAAAAGCATCAATATCAGTTCATCCACTGTAGCAAATGCAACACACTAATCTAAGACAAATAATATGAGAAACCGGGGGCAGAAGGGGGAGGGGACGGGGTGAGGGAACTGTACTTATCAGTAGCTTTTCCATAACCCTAAAATTACCCTACAAAACAACGTCTGTCTGTTCATTACAAAGAGGTGGCAGGGCAGGAGGAAGAAGAAGCGCGAGTTCGTGCTCTTTGGCAAACACAGGGTTGGAGTCAGGGGGACAGGATGGGCGCTCGCCCAGGTATGGCCTCGGGCTTACTGCCCACGACCCCCGAGTCGAGAGCCGCGTTCACCCGCCGCGGTCAAGCAGGAGGTAAAGCTCTGGGGGCGGGCGGCGCGTCAGTAGCGTTTACACTTGCTCCCAGCGGTTCGCGGAGAAGAGCAGATGCACCGAATGGTCCTCCAGCTCCCTTTTCTCCTCCAAGTAAGAGCTCAACAGCCGACCGATCTCAGTTGATCTTTCTAAACAGAGAGAGAGAGAGAGACCCACGAAGTGAGCGCAGGCCTCCCCACCTGAGTGAGGACACGGCTGGGGCCGGGCCGCGGGCTGCGGTTTCCTTTGCGGCGCCGCCCGGGTTCGGAGTGTCCCCGAGAGCCGGCCGCGGGGTGCAGGTGCCCGCACGGAAGAGCTCAAGGGAGGGAAGGCCGGAGCCCCACGACCCCGCCGCGCGCCGCTGCCCGATCCGCCTGCCTGAGGCGTCGCGGGGAGTCCGCCGCGCCGGTGTCTCCCTGCGCATGTCCGAGGCCGGTGAAGCCATCCCTCCAGCCGCTCCGACGGGAACAGCCAGGCCAGAAGCCGTGGCCCGGATTCCCGCCAGTGCCGGGACCGCCTGCCCGCCCACGACTGCAGCCACCGCCCCGCGGCCCCGACACCGAGCGGCCCCGCCGTCCCACGGCCCCGACACCGAGCAGCCCCACCGCCTCGCGATCCCGACTCCGACCCCGAGCGGCCCCGCTGGCGCCACACACACCCGGGAAGCGGAGCAGCTCGGCGCGGTGGCCCGCGGCGCACAGCGCTGCCACCAGCTTGCGGCTCTGCGTGCTCTTCCCGGCGCGGTCCACACCCTCCAGCACGATGAGAGCCCCGCGCCGGGCCGCCATGCTCGCGCCTTCCCGCCGCCCGCCGCCGCCGCGTCCCCGGCGTCGCTCGGAGCTCCCATTGGCGGGCGTCGGCTGCGCGCACTGCGATTGGCTGAAACGGACCTGCCGAACGCGGCGCGCGCTGGAACAGGCTGAAACAGGCCCGCGTCCGTGGCGCGCTCTGGAATTGACTCTGGAGGATCGCACGCTGGGATTGGCTGCCATTTTCCGGCCTTGCCCGGATTGGCTGGTATCGGCATAGGGGCGGGGCAAAGGCGAAGGCGCCATCGTCGCCCCGCCCCTTCCGGCGGAGACCCCGCCTTCCGGGGCGGGCGAGCCGGCGGCGGCGTGTGCTGGCGGCTGGCTGCTGGCGGGGTCGGCCGGGGGCGGGCCTTTCCTGTCCCCGCGGCAGTCCCGGGGAGACGGTGGTGTCGTCTATTCTGCTTCTCGGGACTGCAGCGCCGGGGAAGCCGCAAGTCAGAGACGCCCGAGGCCGCCTCGCAGGAGAGGGAAAGGACGGTCTTGCCGGCCCTCGTGCTCGACTCCTGAGATGGGGGTCCCCGTCCGGTCCGGAGGCTCCCGGGCGCTGTTGCCCCTTCAGGGGCGTCCAGGTTGCCTGCGCATGCTCCGGGCGAGACCGTGCGTTCATGGGCGGGTGCGGTGCTGACTCCCGAGGGCCGGTCCTCGGGTGCCCGCCCGCCGGGGGCAGCGCTGGAAGCCGCGGGGCTGGCGACGAAGCGGACTCGCAGGCCACGACGAGCCAGGAGCCGCGTCCCGCAGTATCCCCCCGCAGCCGGCTTCGCGTCTGGACTTGTGCTGGACTCGGCCCTCAAGGCTGCTTGCTCGTGAGCTCTCGGGGGCACCTGCCGCACTGCTGCCCGCAAGAGCTTGCTGAGGTTTCCAGGGTGGGCGGCGGCGGCTTCGCGGGGTTCTGGAGCTCACTCTCCGCGACTTCCCCGACTTCTCCTCCCCAAGCCCCTTAGAACGTGACTTCCCCAGGCAGCTAGCGTGGCTTCTTGTGCCCCAACCCGTTTGCCTGATGCAGTCTGAGTTCGGGAAGGGTGGGTAGATGATAGTATTCTTCCAAAGCATTTGCCCCCTTCCTTGATGTTGATATTGGCTCTGCGGCTTCCAAATCCTGTTGGACTCACAGCTGACTCGCGTCCTTTGAAGGGGAAGCTGTGGAAGCTCTTGTTTGGCTCGGCAGTTCCCTCCTCAGGCCGTCGTCCCCCCCCGCCCCCCGCCACCGTGAGAAGAGCCTATGCACAATTAGGGCTGTGTTTTCACCCTGGATCTCCAGTTAAGGAAATAAAGCTAAGGCCAGGCTACGGCCATAGACGGATAGGTAGCACGGCAAGAAGTAAGCCATCGGCATTCCGAGTCCCTCCTGGAGATTGCAGGACCCCCATTACGGCAGCACAGCCTAGGGAGGGTTCACTGATACAAAGGCTAGAGCGTAATGTTGTTGTAGGGATGGAAGCAATAGCCTTTGGTTTTATGTCTCCTGTTCTCAAAAGTCCATCTCCTGGGCCTTCAAAGGATGAAAGCATTACAGTAGAGAAGGGAACCTTCCCAGGCTTGGGCAGATGCCAGCCAGCCTTGAACCTCATCTGCAGGATGAGCTCACTGGGCTACAGGGAGAACATGTAATGCAGCGTGTCAGCTTGTGAATGCCTGGTCTTGCTGGATGTCTGTGAAAATGGAGGAACCTGGCGGTTGGGGCCTTGTGTGCAGGGTGGTGGTGCCGTGCCCTTTTGACCACAGCAGTTGCTAAACTAGCACAAGTCGGGTGAGGTTTGTTATTAAGGTACAACAAGCAGTTTTGCTTCGAGTCTTCAACACGTCCTGCCTCTTATATCAGAATGACACTAAGTGCAAGTACCAGCCTACCTGTGGCTTACATCATGGGGATATTTCGTTATCACACATAACTCAAAGTCCAGAGTTAGGCAGACGATAACTGCTTCTGCTGCCTGGTGATGTCAAAGGTCAGGCCCCCATGTTAGCAGTTCTAGCTTCTCCTTCCCGGTCACAGGGTGACTTTGGCATCTCCATGCATCCAGTGCTGATCTTGTGGCCCCACCATGGGCAGGGGCGTGGCCTCGCATCTGGACATTGTCTCCTTTCTGCTCTGCTGCATGGACAGGTTGGTCTCAAGCCTGATGGTCAGCACAGTCGGCCCTAGAGCTGTGCAAGTAGGATCTCTTCACAGCACCATGGAGGCCTTATAGGTGGGCACTTGGTGGAGGAAATTATAGGGTTCTGGGTCTAAGTGTGCTTGGAGACAGAGGGGACATAAAATGGGTTGTAAGGTGCCAATGGCTGATGAGCACACAGGGCTCATTAGGGCCCCCCTACTCTTACATGTTTGGGATTGTCCCTTAAAAAAAAACCCCAAAAGGCACTAAAGCCCTTTTACTCTTCCCTCTTCCTCAAGGATTGTGGCAGCAAAGGCTTTCTTGTTAGCCAGGCTACCCTGTCCTGACAGCACAGACTGTGGGGCTCCATGTGGGTGTGGAGAGAGGTCGCCAGTGTCTCTTCTTCCTCTTAATTCCCTTTTGGGGATTGCTGAGCAGAGAGCCCGATGTGGGGCTCGATCCCAGGACCCTGGGATCACGAGCTGAGCCGAAGGCAGAGGTAAAGCCTCTCTCTTTGGCTCGGGTTGTGATCCTGGGGTCCTGGGATCGGGCCGTGTTGGGCTCTCTGCTCAGCAGGGAGCCTGCTTCCCTTCCTCTCTCTCTGCCTGCCTCTCTGCCTACTTGTGATCTCTGTCAAAGTCTATAAAAAAAATCCTGAGTGGTAATAAAATAGTTTTTTAAAAAAAGATTTTATTTATTTATTTGACACAGAGTGAGAGACAGAGAGGGAACACAAGCAGGGGGAGTGGGAGAGGGAGAAGCTCCCATCAAGCAGGGAGCCTGATACGAGGCTGGATCCAATGACCCTGGGATCATAACCTGAGCCAAAGGCAGACGCTTAAGGACTAAACCACCCAAGTGCTCCTAAAATGGTTCTTTTAAGCAATTGTTTTCAGGTAGCTTATTATGCAGCAATAGCTGGAGCACACAGATACGTACAGCCATATGAACACATGTTCATCAGGGCATTACTGATGCTAATGAAAACTTCGTACAATCAAAACATTGTACATCTATTGTTCAAAGTATGGCACACCAATGCAATGAAATAATCTAGTAAACAAAATGAAGTAGAATGAGTAAAACATGGCCAGGTGTTTACAAAGAGTATGAAGTTAAAAATGTAAATAGTAGAAAAGTGGATAGTGTGATTCACCGGTAAGAAAACGAACAGCCCACGTTAAAAGTGGACAAAAGTTAGGAAGTGCCTGGGTGGCTCAGCTGGTTCAAGCATCTGGCTCTTGGTTTCAGCTTGGGTTGTGATCTCAGGATCTGGCCCTTCACTGGGCTCCACACTCAGTGGGGAGTCTGCTCCCCCTCTGCCCACCCCCCACCACTTTCTAAATAAAATTTTTTAGTTTTCTTTTTAAGATTTTATCAATTTATTTGTCAGAGAGAGAGAGAGAGCACAAGCAGGGGGAGTGGCAGGCAGAGAGAGGAGCCCGATGTGGGACTCGATCCCAGGACCCTGGGGATCATGGCCCTAGCTGAAGGCAGATGCTCGACCAACTGAGCCACCCAGGCATCCCATAAAAAGTTTTTTTTCTCAAAGATTTTATTCATTTTTTTTGATAGCGAAAGCAGGAACACAAGCAGGGGAGGTAGGAGAGGAAAAGGAGACTTCCTGCCAAGCAGAGAGCCTGATGCGGGGTTCAGTCCCAGGACCCTGGGATCACAACCTGAGCTGAAGGCAGATACCTAACGATCGAGCCACCCAGGTGACCCTCTAAATAAAATCTTTTTTAAAAAGTTAAAAAAGAAGAAATGGGCAAAAGTTATGAACAGACACCTCACCCAAAGAGATGTACAGATAGCAAATACTAAGAAGAATTCATTAGGGAATTATGTCATTAGGGAATTGCAAACAGAACAATGAAATATCTTTACCCACCCATCAGAATGGTCAAAATCCAGAACACCGACAACACCAAGTGGTAGTGAGGATGTGGAGCAACAGGAACTCTCGTTCTTTGCTGGTGGAAATGGAAAGTGATACAGCCACTTTGGAAGCCAGTTTGGTGGTCTCCTACAAACCTAGACAATCTTACTCTTTTTGGTATTTAACCAAAGGAATTAAAAACATGTCCACACAAAAACCTGTACATTAATGATTATAGTAGCTTTATTCATAATTGGCAAAATTTGGAAACAACCAAGATGTCTTTCAATAGGTGAATGGGTAAACTGGTACATCCAGACCATGAAATGTTACTCAGCATTAAGAAGAAATGAGCTACCAAGCCACAGAAAAGCACGGAGGAAACATAAATGCTTACTACTAAGTCAAATAAGACAATCTAAAAAGTCTGTGAAACGTGTGATCCCAACTCTACAACATTTTGGAAAAGGGAAAACTGCAGTAAAAAGATCAGTGTTTGCCAAGGGTGCGGGGAGTGGGGAAAGGGCTGACAAGGTAGAACACAGCATTTTGGAGGCAAAGGATTCTGTATATTGTAATGTTGGATACATGTCATTACACATTTGTTAAAAACCCACAGAATATACAACACAGAGTGAACCCTAAAGTAAACTACGGACTTTAATAATAATGTATCAAGGGCCGCCTGGGTGGCTCAGGCAGTTAAGCGTCTGCCTTCAGCTCAGGGACCGACTCAGGATTCTGGGATCCAGTCCTTCATAATGCTCCTTGCTCAGCGGGGAGCCTGCTCCTCCCTCTCCTCCTCTCTCTCTCTCTCTCTGACAAATAAAATCTTTAAAAAAATACTGTGTCCATATTATTTCACCAGTTATAATAAATGTAGCACACTAGTGCCAAGTGCTTGTAGTGGGGCTGTGTTTGCGCGTGCGCACGTGTTTAGGGGTCTATAGGAACTCTCTTTTCTTTTTTTTTTTTTTTTAAGATTTTATTTATTTGACAGAGAGATCACAGTAGACAGGCAGGCAGAGAGAGAGAG